TGCATGATGGTAGTTACCTCTCAGCTAGCACAATCTGTACAGTACTATAAAATGGCAAGCACACTATAAAGTTGACTAATAGTGATCGTTTTCAGATCGAGATGAAAATGTCTATATTGAAATATTAGTCAATTGGTTGATTGACAGAAAATGTATCTGCAAACATTTCAACAGTTGATTATTCAGTTCAGTTATTTTTCAAGCAAAAATGCAAAATATTTCCTGGTTCCAGCAACTCACTTGACACCGTTTTTCTGTCTTATATGTTAATAAATAGGATACCTTTTTATGTTGGGTTGTTGATTGGAAAATAGATAAAGTACAAAAGTAATCTGATGATGTCCTCTTGGGCTCACAAAACTTTTCTCTAACATTATATTGACAAAAACATTTATTGAGAAAAAAATCTGCAGATGAAACGATACTGCAAATAGCTGTTAGTTGCAGCCTTAATTTCAGAAGCCTGTGGGCCCTCCGCTACGTCCAGTACGTCTTATTGCACTTCATGATACACACTATACCATCCCGTACAAACACAGGAGGAGGCACTATTGAGCTTTGCCACACTACAAAAGCTCTTTTACATCATGGATGTGGAGGTATTCTTTAAAGATTGGTTCTTCTCCATCTGTTTTTCAGTCAAGGCAGACATAGTAAGAGCAGGGGTTAGCACAGAAAGGGCAGATAGACTTGTGTTGTACTGTGTACTCTAGGTTTAAAGCTGTCCTACAGTATCCTCTGTCCATATGATCAGGCCACATGGTGCATAGCCTTCGTGCACTTCCCCCCATAACACTGCTGTGACTCACTGTGATGGGAAGTTAGTTAATTGTTTAAATCTTACCTAAGTCCTCTCTCTTTATTATGGAACCCTTTTGTTTGTTGAATAGATTCAGAAACAGTAGAATCAAATACACTAAGGCTGTCAGACTGGATTTATGGATGTCTTCAAACGTTTTTAATATTACAGGCTTAAATGTGTTTATCATGGGCTGCTGTTCGTTCCTGTGTAACAAACAGATGGCTGGGAAATCTCCAACCACAGGATCAATAACCTAGGCTAATATACATGCATCAATATCAATGTCAGTGAGTAACTTAAACCACCATATGCCAAAAAACTATCCCTTTACACCCCTAAGGAATACCTCAAAGCTCCACAATCTATCTGGTACCTTATACTGCTGATTTTTTAATGGAATATCTACTGTTTGTTTAGCTGGGGAATACTGTTCAGATGTTTTATTGGCAGTGTGTTGGAAATGATAAAATACAGAGAGCCTAAAAGTTTAAAAAGTAAAAATGTACCCTCAATGTAAATGGAATAGATATTAGAAGTTATAAATGTAAAAACAAAAAAAAAGGATGTTTAAACTCTAAACTAAACTGTTCCTGTCAACACTGTATTTCCAGATCAAAACAGGAATTAAGTCCAATCAAAAGTCAACAGAAGAAAAAAAAACACACAATAAAAGTTACTTGTTTGTCAGTAAATATCAATCAATTGCAGATGGTATTTTTAACAGCTTGCTTTTTGAAATAAAAGGCTTTACAGAGGTATTGTTTACTTTAGTCAGTACCAGAAACTAGTCTGTCAGTGTGTCAGTGAGCTCAGAATATTTCAAACAACATTACAGTGGATGTAACAGTAAGGAACACTGCTGCCAAGATAAAACCATACTGGTTACAGTTTACACTGTATGCTTGATTAAAGCTCGCCTTGCTAGCAGGAGGAAGTCATGAGTGGTTGTGTAGCATTACAAAAACAAGTTGCATTCCGTATTGGTCAAGTGACAACCAGTCACAACAAAGACAAAACAAGGGACAAATCAAGGCTTTAGACTCAGCATACCATGTCTCAGGTCACGCTGTGTCAGATTTGACAGCAAAGAGTGGCTTTGTGGGCTGCTTCTTGTATTATTATTGTGTGGTAAGTTTGATTATAAGCATTTAAAATGTATTATAGCATGCTTTGAAGTGAACACCACTTTCTCTCCTCCAGGTTGTGCAAGCAAGTCTGGTATTCATCTGGCAAGCTGCATTCTCGATGATGCAACCACAGAAGTGTTAATGTGTACTCTCTTGTGTTTTCCATTTATGCCTGGTAACATCTTCTGCGTCTTGGATTCTAGCTTTTTCACAACAGTGAATACCATCCACTTTTATCCCCTATATGTACAATGGTCAGTCGAGTCCTCTCATTTTCATTATGTAACTTACTTTGTTGAAAAGTAAAGTAGCAGACAGACTAGGGGAAGCACAAGACATAAAAGTGTCATAGTATTTGAGCATTGGCCAGTTGAGGCACATGATGCTCGAAAGGCAGCTATGCTGATCCCTGACATTCTCATTAAACACACCTATACAACAAAGCAAACTGAGTTAGACAAATAAATCAGCTGTCAATGATAAGCGACCTTACAGGGGTCTTATCAGAAACATTTATTCTTACCGTGCACATCGAAAACGTTCAAGGGCCTTGTCGCATGGCGTGACGACTCTCTCTTTCCACCCTTGATGAAGGCTGGTAGACTGGGTCTCCTCTGGTCCCCTACAAACTTCCCCGGCTGCTGCCCCATAAGGGCAGGGTGCCAGGCAGCAGCCCCGGCTCAGTCTGTCCCCTCCTGGAGTATGGGTGATGCGGGTCACCTATGCAGATCCGTATTACTCCAGTATGTCTCTGTTTATCGTGCATTAATGGATTCTGAGTGCTTCAGAGGTTGAAGAAAGGCATTTCAAAGTAACCTGGAGGGGAAAAAAACAATCAGGAATGATTTTTTAAAGCGTGATATGATATTTAAAAGGACCAGTGTGTAGGATATAGTGGCATCTAGCGGTAGAGTTGCAGATTGCAACTAACTAAACACAGCTCGCGTCTGTATTTGACGACCTGGGAATGAGAATAGGCTGTGAAGTCTGTAGGAGAAACTACAGTGGCAACAACACTTGCGAAAATCCGTATCTATAGCAAGTGTTTGGTTTGTCCTATCTTGGCTACTGTAGAAACATGGCGGACTCCATGAAAGGCAGCTCACTACTGCCTCTATAGATAAAAACAGCTCATTCAAAAGTAACAAAACCACAACGGTTACTATATTCAGGTGATTATACACTAATTAAAACCTACCTATGCATATTATATTCCATTTCTGCCAATACATCTTCCTAAATGTTACACACTGGACCTTTAAAACAGCATTTATACAGTGTACAAAGTGTACGTATGATCCTGGCTTAAACCTGGACGGCAACAACACCCTCACAATGAGGTGGAGAAGAAATAAATGTGAACTCTTAGGCTGAAATAAACATTACAACCAACCCAAGAAAATATGTTGGATCAGTTTCCCTGCCAAATACCTCACTGTATGCTAAACCTGCTGTAGGTATGTATCTAGGTATGCTCTTTTAAACTATGTTGTCAGTGCACCTACAGTACTTCCTTCTGTACACAACCCAATTTCCCTGTTATAACTAGGATATACGTCCACTGAGTTTCCTCTTTTGAATGCCAATCAAGCTCTTTAAATGTCAAGCTAACACTGGTAAATTGCAGTAAGTTATACTTCAGCCTACAGCCACAAATATCAAGAAATGTAGCTTTGAGTGGCAACAACAAAGTGCCCGATACAAAAATATCGGAGACAAACATAAAACACTGTAACTCACAGCAGAGCATTAACTCTTGTTATCCCTGGGCAACTTATCTGACCAAATGTCAAAAACTTTACATCATAAACAATAAGCACTACAGTGGAAATGGCAGACCACATATATCAAACTTGCACCGCAGTTACAAACTTATGTAGTAAAGTGTAAACAGAAACTTACACGGCCATAGAAACATGTATATTGTTGGTTAGCTGGCGACCTCAAGCTAATTTTGAAGGTAGCCATGGAGGCTAACTAACGTTAGCTGGTGGTGTGCAGCGCCCAGACCCTTAAATGCACATTGAGCACTCAACAGTTGGATTTCGCTGGGTCGCTGTTAACACGCTGGCAATAAACGTCGGACAAGTGCACGTAAAAGTCTCAGAAAAGCACCTCCGACCACACCATGTGAATGCTTTGCAGAGTAGTCTTTCCAAAGCCAGAGTATTCAGTTTGTTTCAAACTTCCGTGTCCACTCTTCCCGTCTTGCGGAGTTTCTTCCCCTGTGGTACCCGGGCTAAAGGCACTTCAATCAAGGAGGTGAAGAGAAATCGAGGAAACTCAGCCGGCCAGAGACCGACGACTCTTTCTGCAAGCCCTTTCCTCTGTTTACAGTCTCCGAGCTCTTCGTTAGCGACCCGTCGGCTCGCGTACTTATTCATCGCTTCCACGTCAAAATCTGAGCCATAAACTTTGGCCGAGCAGTAGTAGTGTTGCTGGTGCCGCCATACTTCCATACGCAAGGTGGTTTACAGAAATATGTGGGTGGGGCGACGTGTGACGTCACGTGCGTGCGTGGGCTAGTACAGAGCAATGGTTTTATTATGCTGCGAGTGCAGGACGACAGTGCTCGAGTAGGCTCTGCAGTGCAGAGAGCATACTCATAGATAGGTTCAAATCAGAGGCTCTTGAGTTTACTCCCTTCTGCACACTGGTGTGTTTTAACAAAAGGTGTGTAACTTACAAGATGTAATCTAAATGTAATGTAAATGTAGTGTTTTAAAGGGAAAATAGCATTTTTTATTTTTTTTTTAATCTTTGCTCCCACAACTCACATACATTAAATTGGAAAAAATATGATGGACATCCTATCTTTTGACATTATGTACACTGATAACAAATATAATGTAAGTATGATTTTTCATCAGTTATGCTCTGTTTTCCCATACCATTTTCACCATTTTAGTTTACCAGTATAAGGCAGTACTGACCTATTTTACAGAAACTAAGATTTGCAGATCTACCATAATTTAGACATCTACATTACTGCTACTGCTGATGGAAAAATATTACATAAATACATGAACTAAAACTTATATTTCAACAAGACAAACCACACTGAGAAGTACTGAAAATTATAGAACATTTATTGCATACAACAGTTTTGTTTAACACCACACATTATAAAAAAGTGTTTGAATATACCTCTGTAAATCATAAGAACAGCAGGTCTAGTAATGTATGAATGCTGTGGAATTGTAAAAGTTACCCATCCCTCCCTTTAGCAGTCAAACAATAATCAGCAGTTATGTTAAGTGAACATCAGACTGTCACAAAAGGAAGGGTGCTAGGTGGTCCCTGACGTAGCTGCTTGATGCAATCTTGGTTTTGTGTACAAGGTCACGGTTAGGATTTATGCTCTTTAACCTTCCTGTTCCAACAGCTTCTGTTGCGTCAACATTACAATCTCCTCCATCACTTCTGGTTTCAAGATGTCCTTGACCTACAGAGACAGCATAAAAAGGAGAATTATAGATCTCTTACACCAAACATACAGATTTAAACACCACAAACATTGTATAGATCCTAGTTAACAATATTTACATACCTATGGCTTTATGAATAAATAATCAAGACTAAAAACAAACAGAATAATTATGCATAATGCACATTTGTGAATGCAGCAATTCTACTTTAGCATTAATAGTAAATATATTTAGTTTAGTTTTTTTGGGGTTAGGTTATTAGCAAGGGACAAAAAGCCTTTCAAACTAAGGTCTATATCAACAATGAAGTGTTCCACGTGTTAACAAGGATGTGGTGATAGCACATGAACTAACATCCTGATAGTTCTCCACGTGAAAAAGCAATGAAATCAACCGTGTCTGTTTAAGAACATCAGAGTCAAAGTTGAGTACTAAAAACAACTGTTGCTGTAGATTTCCAATATGGCCACCAGATGGCATAATACATCATGGAAAAGTCCACTTTTTTATTTCAATACGTTTTCATTTCCATTGCTTTACATTTGTGAGGCAGTGGGGGCAATGAAAAAACAATCACATGCTACTGAAAACTGAAATAAGTGACTATCACTACAGTGCATCACATTTTATCCGATTGCTTCCTACCTGGTGTTGAACTGAAAATTCATAGCAATAGAGAACACTGGTGTCATACAAAAGGACCTTGTGTGCAGCCAAAGCCAGTAGGCAGTTTCTCAACCGTGAGATCACCTCTCGATCTGACAGACTGACAGGCTGAAAGGGCAGAGACAAGAGATGAACAAATAAATTACTTCAACATAGACACAAAAATGCAATTTGGATGCAGTAGATTTAAATTGATTGAAACCAAGTGACTCCTCTTTACACACAACTTGCAGATTCCTCAGTAAGGGTATCTAAACAAGATCAGGTGCATTTCTCAAACAAATTGTAGATACCAGTATTTCTATTCCCACCTCCAAACTTCATTATTAACTTCTTAATTATGAAAATACTGCTATTCAAAACTATGATATACTGCTCTTTGTGGGTTCTGTTCCCACCTCCAGGCTGGTGTAGAAGCCCCCAGCCTCTTCCTCCTGCTGTTCCGGTGTGGGATACAACCACACAAAACCGTTATTCCCGAGGATGATAGATGCACCGCATGGCAGGTTGTGGAAATGTGTTTTCTGCCTCTTGATGAGAGAAGGAGAAAGCTGCACCAGCACTCCTTGGCCCAACTGATGGTCAGAGAAAGTAAAAAAAACTGTATTAGTTTCTAGACTAGTGGCTATGTTGAAAATGACAGTTATGTAGGACTGATTACATCCCCAAAGTTTGCATATTTTGCAAGTGACATCCGTAAGTCCATTCACAAGTATATTGTGGCCCTTTGTTTACATTCTGAGTACTACGGCAAACTGAATAATTATTTGAAGATATCATCATAGCTATACTCTGCACATGTCATTGTGTACAGTGGCATAACTTACTTTTCCATACTTTAAACTACGGGTGTGAAGTGATAGGGCTCCATCTGAGAAGACAGACTGCACCTCTGCCTAAAAGTACAGGAAAAGACCAACAAGAACATTGTAAGTGAGAGTAATAAGATGGAGCAGCCAATGGCAGATTATAATAAACTGAGTTACACTGATGAGATCGCCCTCCTGAAGGTATTCTCTCATGGTGAGCTCATCTTCTGCTGATCGTCTCCTCTGAAAGAGAAAATCAAATAAACGTTTTAATAATAACAACAATAAATACAAGTTAGCTTTTAACAAACTTCCCTGTCCAAGCCCATTTCCCCTCTCCTTTATGATGGTGCTAATTCAGCTAACAGTGTAATACACAGAACGAGCATCTCACCAGCTCTCCTCCCGGCAGATTGACAGAAGACAGCAAAAGAACGGAGTCCAGTCTGGAGTTTGTTTCCACCTTCCACCGTTTCTGTTGTACCTACACATATCACAGAGATACAAACATCCACATGTTGAACAAATATTCAATATTTTTAGGACACATCATACAAACATCACATAGCAGAAGATATGTGTTGGCAGTGCCTTACCTCTGTTATTCTGCCAACCACCACATCTCCAACTTCACCGTTGAACCTGCAATTCAATAAAGTACGACAACATTATAATTACATAACTTCTGCAAAAGGTAGCAGTACATAAACCAATTCAAATCTGTGCATACGTCAGTACCACTAGGCCCACTTGACTTTTTAAACTGTAGATGTCTCAATTGAATCACTTACCTGGTCTTAAGCGGTCTGACACAGATCAGTTTGTCCACTCTCTGTACTTCTCCGGCGACTGAAGCCGTCAGCTTGTCCTCATCAACATAGGTGCCATGACCCCTGGAGATAAATGACAATCAATGATAATGAGAAATACAACTACTACAGGAATGTGGTAAAGAAAAAGCTGGGTTAACTATGAGCTACCAGATAGTGCTTATAGACAACACAGCCACACAAAGTGTCATAAAGCATTGACCACTGTTAATGGCAGATCAGACAGGCTACAGCTATAAATATTATTATGGTCTAGATTACAACCAGTTTAAGCTTCCTTCTTTTGAAATCAGCTAACATTTTTTTAGGGGGAGTCACTTCAAATCCACATTATGGTAGCTTCCCCAGTTTTTTTTTTACTGGGAGTCAAGCCTGACCTGGCTTTAAAAGGGATCACTACAAAAAACAGTACCAAAGATCATCACGCTCCTCTCGCTTTCCCACCATGACATCATGGTGTGTCCGCCACAGGCAGCAGCCGATCACCACCACCCAGTGCACCAACCAGTACCTACCTCATGAAACCAGTGTCTGAAGTGATAACATCGCCGGGGACCACCAGATCCTTTCGGTCGAAAGCAGAAACTGATAGGGACACTGCTTTTCGAACAGTTGGTAATCTCATGTCAGCAGCCATGCTTCTTTTTTTTTTTTTGCTTCTTCTTCTTTTCCCCTCCCTGGTAGTTTACCGCCACCTACTGAAGCATGAGTCTGTGTTTTTTCCCTAAATAATGTTACTAACTTAGTAGTTTCCAAACAACTTAATAAGTCCAGAACGTGTAAGAAGTGGAAAATACACAAAATATGTAATGTATATCAGCCACCTTGCTACGCTTGCTAAACTAGAAACAAAATTCTTCTTCCTTTTCCTGTCTTCTATCCTCATTACCGCCACCTACAGTTCCGAAGGGTGTACTACAGATTACAGTGTGTTAACTATTCAATCTTTCTCTTTTAAAGTAAAGAAAAATGAAAAGAAGTAAGTTAAAAAGTAAAGAAAAACAATGCGCGACAATTCCTTAAACCCAGTACCGTACGGAATCGTTCATTTCTGCCTTAAACTCCTACTTGATTTCATAAAATGAATGAGAGCATGGTTGAACCATTGACTGTATATATAAGGGTTGAACACCTTCTCCTGACAGGGTTCACACATGCCCCAGTCTAATTATTATAACAATGACCCCATATTTATCTTAACCCTAATAGGAGTGTGGTTTGGAAATTAAAGGACATTAGTAAAAGTTTTTTAAAAGTGTTTTTATTTTTTAAATTTTTACTTTTATCCCCAAAACATTTTAATTTTGCCACACTTTTTAATACTATACTAATAATGCATTTATTCTTGGTTTATTTATATTTAAGATTAAATTGAATTGATCCATAGCAGTCCGTGTCAACGTGTTTTGCACAGGTTAACAATACAACAGGTTAAACCATGTAGACAGGCACACAAACATACATATCTAAGTTGATTAAGAAATAAAATAACAAATATACACACATTTAAATTGATAATGTATGCATGGTGGAGTCCTCATTCAGTGCAGTGGTTGTATTTCTAGTATAGAAAGCGGTCCACTTCATAGTCTTCACTGTCCTCTTGAACTGAAATCATAAATGAGCTAATGAGAGACAGATTGCAGCATTATAATTTAAGTCACATTGCACAGCTTGTAGTTCAGTAAGTACACCCTGAGTATATGAGCTTCCCTGCACTGTTTCTTCTCACCACCAGGTGTCAGCATCCAGCCACGTTGTCGTCAACGGAAACCGGTTCGAACGATGTTTTCACATAACGGAGACGTGACGTCAGATGTCAACACCACGCAAACGTCTCCGTCGTCGCCAATCAGCTTCGATTCGGAGCGACTGTTGTAAAGATGGCGACGTCGAGGCACAGAGGAGTACAACCTGGACGCTTTACCGCTATTAAACGCCGCTGGTCCAGACACCGTAACAATTGACACGGCAGCGGGAGCGAGAGTTAATCGACCGGTTTGTCCGCCGCGGTGCGCTGTTTGGTGCTGTGTGGTGTCTTTGCGGGCCTGGTTGCTTTTGTTTTCGGTTAGTCGTTGCCTTGGACAGCTCATTAGCTTCAAGTTGGAGAGCCAATGCTAGCCCACGGCTAGCTGTGTAGCCCCATCGGCTGCTGGGATCTTTCTCTACGGCATTCGTGGACTGATAGCCCGACCAGTGTAAACGCTGGGCTGCGGGTACATACTTAAAAGTTTTCTCTCTTTTTTTTATTTTTTATTATGGAAACAGCACCCATGACTCAGTTGGATTAAAAATACTTTAAAGAGGAACAAGGGACACCGACGATCTGGCATTGCGACACAGTTTGGAGTGAGTTTGCCGTCATGTATTTTCTAACCGGCTGGCCCCGGAGGCTGCTTTGTCCGCTTAGGAGTGAAGAAGAGCCCTTCCACATCCAGCCCAGCTCCCAGAGGTTTTACTTCGCCGTGCTGTCGGAGACACAGCTCAGCGTTTGGTTCAGTCGGGTAAGTTTAAGTCAACCTGCAGCTTCGGTCCAGTCACGCTCGTGAACTCAGCTGCACGGACAAAAACAATGCGTGCAGTGAGTGCTACGGTCATTTTAGCTAACGTGAAGCATGTTGCACACAGTGTACCTGAGTAGATTGTGCGTTGCTGCGTGGCAATCTGGCTGCCTGCCCTATGTTTTTATCGAAAGGATCATCATTAAACATAGAGAGCAACGGCGGTGTTAGTGATTAGCGACCTTAAGGCTTTGTTGTACTAACAAACGGTGCCACCTATACACTTACGTAGATGACAGGTGACATTGTTGCGCATCACAACAGTTTGACGATATCCGCATACGTGTGATGCGTATGTAGGCATCGTAGTACAATTTATCATTACGTTGCATCCCTCATTTACTCCCTCGTCCATGACCTGGTGGCTGTTCTCCCTCCCAGCTCACCTGATGAATGCTGTATGTCAGGCAGAGGTCAGTTTCCCCCTTGTGGAAAGTGTAAACTGGTTGAGTTTCTCGGGTACATTCAGTACTTTTTGGTGACATTTTCTATTTTTATCACCCTGCCTGCAAGGTTTAAAGTTTAAGTTGTTATCAGCATGGGATTTCCAATTGTGTTCATAACAAATACTCACTTACCGCATGTTGTGGTATGTTCTTTCAGGCAGCAGCTCAACTTGAACTCAATATCTTTTAGGCTGCCAGAGTTAAATTATTAATGTTAAGCAATCATGTCAACACATCATTTGCTCCCTTTAATTTGTAGTTTGTCCTCCACAGCAGCATAATAGAGAAAACATTTTTTAAATTGTGCCTTGAAAATAATGTTGCTCCTAAGTGACATTCTGCATACTGATGGGTTATATTTTCTCTAAATAGCCTCTGTGTAGTTGAGTAGTTGTATCTATTATGGCAGTCTTTATAACAAGAGGATAGGTTTTTACAGGTAATCTAAAGCCACGACATTTATCAGCAGAATGTGAGTCATGAATTGAACTGATATGACTTCACAAAAAAAGCCCCTATGCTGAAACCAGTTCCCTCACTAAATCTTGAAGCCTTTTAAGCACCGCCATGTCCCAAACTACTGGCTAAATTAATTCCAATATGGCCCCTAAAGTTGCTTGTCTAGAGCCAAGAGACCACCTGTGACCTTAGGCGGCGGGGTTATGTCATAAACATGCCATCTGTGCTAGCTCAGAATCATTGTGTGATCAGTGACGTTTACAATCTTACTTGAGAGGAAAAACTACTCAAATAAAAAACTGTTAGTGGTTTGCCAAAGAGAGAAATGCTCTTGCAAATAACAACGTTTTTAAGATGATCATATTTACCATAACAATGGAACAAATCAAGTTGACATACACGATAAAAAGTTCCCTATAGTGACGACAAATACAAATACACACAAAACGTGATACTGAACAGTCCAGTACAATTTTGACTTTTTGTAGTGTCATGCTCAGTGTCAGCAGACCTCAGCAATGTGTTACACAGTAGCAGCTACTACAGATGAGATCTTATTATCACCATTGTCTATATTCATTCATTTGCTCTCAAGACATTTTTAACTTCCAGACAAATAATTTTGTCATGCCATTTGTAACCGTGGAACTCTTGTACCTAGTCAAGTAAAAGTTTCAGTTTTGTGTAAATGCAGAATGCCTCATTAAATGTTTGGTGGTTCCCCATTCAGCACTGTATTTAGTGCCAGCACCAGGAGCTGATGTAGGACACAAGTCTAGCCTAGCATCCTGTGCTGTGAAATGCATACTCTTGTCCGTATTTTCTTTTTTTAATACACCAGATTTAGCCGTGCTGATATGAAGAGGAGCTGTTTGCTTTGATAACCTGTAGTTGAGGACATAGTTTACGAATGTCTGCGTTCCACACAGCTTTTGTATTATTGAGTTGAAGCAACAATGGATCAGGGTCACTGTTGATTTCCTGAGGCCCATAGAGGATGTGACCATGTTTTCCTTCCCCTCTTTCTTAAGACGTTAGCCTGCCCGAGTATCAGTGAGGCGTCCAGGAAACGCATCGTGTCAGGAATGTCGATTGGAGCAACTTCTTCCTCTTGACATGCAACTTTCACATCTGTTACATCCATCATGTCATTTCAGTTTAATATCCAGCCCAACAGGGATGTAGTATAGGGTTTTGTTTACGCCATTTTATAAAGAACTTTATTTTTAAAACAAGTTTAAATACATTTGTTGAAGTACACAAATATGAAAAATATATCAATATGATATTAGGATTGTGGTATAAAATTAGATTTAGTATCAGTAATGGGTTAGTTTGTTTCACTATTGTAGCTTATGTTGTAGCTAGCTATTATTAAAGTGTCCTGAAGTCTCTTGAAGTTAGACATAGAGTATTTTTGTAACATTTCTTAGAACTGTTGCATGTTGCTCTTGTTGTTGGGTAAATTAAGGTGATTGGAAATCTGCCATTTCCCCTCCCAGATTGGGATTGCGCTCAGCCATCATTTTATCACAAGGTCCCTTTAATCCCATCTATCCTCAAACTCAGCCAGTGCAGCCTCAGCCCGACTAGTTAATTCGAGGCACTGTTACTTAATCCATGTAGCACAGTAGCTTAGCCTTGTAGTCGTTCTGTGATGTCGCACTGCCACAGCTGTATGAAAGAGAGGGAAGCTGCTGCTCAGGATGTCTAGGAATGAAGGGGTTTAGAGTTTGGCGTGGTGGTGCAATATTAGCGCTATAGTTGGCTCTGGGTGCCTGCAAAAATTAGCAACATTGTGTGTATGCACACGTATGGTTGCACATAGTTGGTGTAGTGTGGAATCCTTTTTCGCTCCCCTGGGATTTCTTAAGTTACAGCAGCTAACCTGCATGAAATTGCGGTGGAGCATGGGAAATGGCAATGCAGGGAAAATACATGAGTCACTAAGACATTACAAAGTATTTACGTTTTAGCCCAGTTAAAATAATGTACACTGGTGCTGGTTTGGTTGGGATGTTGTCATGCGAAACTCAGATCTCTCAGGAACAGTTTTTGCTTTTTGCTGGTCTGCTTTTGCTTTAAAGGGCAGTTCAACTGCTTACCTGCAGGGCTGGGTGATGCAGTGATTGACATCTCCAAACATGAACAATATCTTAGAAAGTGCAATAACCAAAGTTATTAAAAGATCATTTGGAAGAATCTTGACATTATTCAGCGAGAGTATCTTCCTGATTCTTTCTTTTTCTCTTTATATTTAATGCAGATCAAGTGTAATGTATTTGTGTTGCAGTGACTGATTCAAACATACTTAATATGTTAAGAAGTTTTGATTTGAATTTGGATTAATTGTATAAATTATGACAAATTAACATGATGGAAAAGCTGACACAGTGCAAGAAAGGCAGGGGGTAATGACTGAAGAAGCCAGACTTTGGCATAGTTAACTATTAGTGCTGCTGCAGAGAAATAGTTAAATGGTTTTGTAATATGTAATCCATAAACAAATTCAAATTCATTTTTGTACTAGAAGACTGTGGTATTGAAAAAATAGGATTAGCAATCTATAAAGGAAATAGGTGAATTTATCAGATGTAGATGTAAACTTCAAATTAATGGTAAAAATCAGCACTTTAACCTCATTGTCATTGTTTCATTTCAAATCCAGTGCACTGTATAGAGGCAAAGCAAAGCGTTCCACTGAGCAGCTGCTATAATGCTGAACTGTTAATTTAATGATAATAGTTATTTTTTTATCCCCAGTTCCCAAATGTAATCAAACAGGCTACCTCTAAAGTGATTCCCCCCCCTTTAAATTACAGGACACCTAATGAGTTTGTGCTGATCGTTTTCTGATGTTATTGCATCTCCTAATGAGGAGAGAGAGAGGTTTCTTTTTCTGTTCCCCACTACTTCACCTGTGCAGGTATCGTTGGCATTATTAAGATTTCATGCTACGAAAGGGACACTGTGGGGTGGAAATACTTCAAACCTGCTCTCTCATTACTGGGACCGGGTACGAGGTCTAATGTTGCATAGCTGGAATTACATGAGATATGTCCCTGCTTTTGTTAGGTGACCATCATTCAGCGTGCAGTGTCCTGGTTTTCCTGTGCAAGGGCTGTTACATGTCTTACTGAAAACAGAATAAGCTGCCTTTACTTTTAAAGATACAGGGCTACCATATACTTTTGATGCTGCAGTTTCTTATTTCTTACTTCCTATTTCTGTGACTAGAAGGATAGAGGATCGAATGAAATCAAGAGGTCACCAGAACAGTAGCAGCACAAGCTAAAAAAAACCAAAAACATGTTAACTGGCAATAATACTTGCTGCTATATAAATGAGGGGTTGTACAATTCTTTTAGTTAAATGTAAGGTACTCGGTAGTAATTCATCTTCTGCAATAATCTGTGCCCATAAAGATGCATTAATTGAAAATATACAGGGTTGTAACATGAATGGACCACAAATTATCTGCAGGGGTTTTCCACTGGTTGTTAAATAATGCCAATGACTCAAGAATTAAGGCTTGGCTGGTGTAGAGGTTTCTGGTGCTGAGAAACCGACTTCATTACCAATGCTTCTCTTCAACAGCTGTTTTAACACCTGTTGAAGTTTCACATTTATAAATCATAAGATACTCAATGATTCTTATTTTGACTACAGATAAAGATACTGTAACTCACTCTTTGTGGTGTTATATTAGGGGAATTGGTATGAACTGGTAATGATTGCTCTCATGCAGACAAATATCTGCTGCAGTGATTCAGGGGGCAGAGGCAAATTAAGGGCAACAGCCTCAGGCAAAGTCTATGTATGACTGTTCATCTGTCTGTGCTGCATGGTATGAACAGTAGCCTGAACATTGCTTTTGTTTATTGGGCGGAAAGATATAAGCTTTACCAGGCAAAATTTAGCAGCATAGCAGCAGTCAGGTATTCTATCCATCCATCCCATTCTTTCAGACTGTGTCTGTATTGCATCATGGCCAAAGAACTAACATTTGAGGCAATTAAATGGCAACAAATCCCCCGTTAGCGCACCAGTTAACAAATGCAGATATCAATGCCAGTCAGCACTGAAAATGTAATTGTGCCTTCTACATGTTTAAGATATATATAAAATAACAACTGATAATTTTAATGATTTTAGTTGTGTTTTTTGGTTATACATATAAACAATATAATAGAAAATGTCAATATATCTTCTTTTGCCCAACCAACAGTCCAAAACCCAAAGATAATAAGTGTACTATGTTAAAACAAGAGAATGTATCGCATTTGAGAAGTTAGGACCATCAAATGTGAGGTATTTGTCCATGATCAAAATAGTTGCCCGAAATTTTCTGTCCATCAACAAATTGTTGCCGCTTTTGAAGAAAGCAGGAAGTGACTCACACTCTTATTACTTGAGGCAGAAATACTGGGGATTGCCTTATTATTTCTGTTTTAGCCATGCTGTTTTTCTCACAACTGAGCTTTATAAATCACAATTACATTGAGACCCCAACCCCAATTAAATGTTTAAAACTATGTTATTTGTGGTTGAAATAGTTAGACTTTCATATGAGTATTTAGATTTTTTTGGCAGCAACAGTACATATTCTGTTTTGGAAGTTGTTGGGGTTTCTTTTGTTGTTGTTTTTGGTTATCATATGTGGTAGTCAGATGTCTGTGACCTGCAGGATTTTTAAAGTGCTTATTTTCTTCCCATATCCCTATTCCCCTCCCACAGCCCAGTGTTTTGATAGTCAGCTATATCGAGTCTGCAAAGGCGGCGGCCCAGTTTGGCTTCTACCAGAAGGCAGAATGGAAACCAGACGACTCCATGATAGCTGTGGCGGTAAGTACACCACTCAATCATCTCATCTCATATTTGCAGTTTGACTGACGCTCATTGGCCCATGTCTTATATAATCTCCTGTAAGTAAAAGGCACTAAAAGTGCATGAACTGCTTGCATACAAAAATAGTACACGCACAGAAAGAGTGTGACTTTGTTGTACACGTCACATGAAGGGCTGACACATACACCATACAATCTAACCCGTGGCCCTTTACTGCAAAAGGGGCAGGATTTAAGAAGGCTCAATTATAGTAATCCATCACTTTCTTTTGTGTCAAGTACAGATCACCATGGATAAAATCATTATACGATACTTAATATGTTCTTGGGCAACCGAGTAGTTTCAGGAATTTCTGCCTATGAACTGTAATTTTCCATCATCAACTGCTGATGACAGCCTGCCATTGTCTTTTTAATCCACACACTGTAACAATGTTGGTAGAAAAACCTTACATGACCTACCCACATCCATAATGCAATAACACAAACTAACTGCATAACTAGCTGCCTCCGTAAGGTCTGTCGTCATGTGCTGTTGTGATTGACTGTTACCTGTAATCACCTCTTATTGTCTTCCTCTCTCACTTTCTCCTCTGTCTGTTGGTTTTCTTTCTACATTTTGTAACCATTATTCCCTCTCTCATCACTTTGTTACCACCTCAGTTTATTGTGTGTAGAAGGTGCTTCAATAATCACTCGCTGACAATACAACTTTATCAGGATCCTTCTGTCATAGAAAACCACAGCTGCAGCTGCATTGTAGCTGTGGAGCATCACAGAAGAATAAGCATGACAAATGCTACAAAGAAAAAAATGAGAAAGAAAAAGTGTGGCAGCACTTTTCTAAACAGCAGAATTTGTCCTATTTTTCTGTTATGCTGAGCTCCAGATACAAGGAAGGTATTCCTGTGGCAATAAGAGCAGCACTGAAACACACTCCCTGAGCTCTCTTCATCATGTTGCAACCTCACTTTCAATCACACGCATATCACACAGTGAACATTGGCATTAGTGTAAAGATAGAATTTTTAGGTGCCACAAAACATCTGTAAAGGTGATTGAAAGTAAAGGAAAATAACAAAATGTCAGGGAAAAAGATGAGAGAGAATTGAGGCTGATTTAGCATGAATAAAGCTTAATTTCCAGTCTCACTGTCTCATGGTATGAGCATGGGCAACATGCAGTAAATGCTGGTCATATGATCTGACTATTCATAAACATTAGGTACACTGGACATCTTTTTAAGCAGCCATTTAAAATTATTTCTCTGCACTTACTATGCGTTTTACATGTGGTCAATGATCAATCAAAAGTGTTTCATTACTCCAGCTTGGGAACTGTTGGGGACTTACTGCAGGTTTCAGGCATGTGAGACAAGAAATATACAGTATGTACATGTATGATATCTGATGCTAGACACACTTCGACTTGGATGGTTATCACTTTAGGTGTGCATCTTGCAGGAGGCCGCACGTAGCGCCAGGCTTAATGCTGCTGGAATGTAGTGTCCACTTATAAAACAATTTTAGCTCCGCATGTGGTGCTTCAGGCAAATACTGCAGCATTTGAAAGTGTACCGCTGGCTGATTAAGTTACACCCAGTTAAAGTGCAGCTATGGACTCCTCCAGGCATAAAACAACTTGGAACACCAAAAATGACCAGACACTAAACTGTGACAGATGAGCTTGTCAAAATTAAGTTAACGGGCGAGGCTCAGCATGTTGCCAAGGATAGGGAATGATAGAAGGAGCTCATTGTGTCCTTATGTCCCACAGGGGACAGCAGCATGTAAAAGTAAAGGCTTCAGCAGTAACATCCTGAAATTGCCTAGGTAGTAATTTGTTAGTAGTAGATAAAGTCACTGAACAAACTGGCCTTTACCATTTTGAGATAATATTTGAATGCTGCAGTTACACTTTGCTCCCTAACTGTAGTATTGTCATACTTTGTCCTGTGCTGATCACTGTACTTTCTATCTGACTGTGACTCAATCAGCAGGAGGTGAAACAGTAGTTCTTTGTCAAGCGGGTTGTTCTGTGGTTTATTGATCACAAATGTTTACATTTCAGCTTTTATGTATTTACTTTACTATCACAGTAGCCAGTACTTCTTTTGGTCTATAAATCGGTTATAAGGTGTGTATCAGTCAGCTTTGCCATTGAACCTTGAGCCCTATACTGGGAACAGATTACAGCCATCTAAAATGATCTAGCTGCCTCAGCTCTTTGGAGAGATGGAGAGGGCCTTATGTTTTTGTATTTCGATAATCAACACAAATTTACCCAAATGCTGAATCTGATGAGAGGAGGATACACAGCTTGCGTCAGCCTGTTTTTCTTCTTCTTTTTTTTCGGTGGATCTAATCATAAAATGTCTTCTTCAGGATCTTCCTTCCTGCCATTATACTCCTACCTTAGTTAAACTTTCAAGAAAAACCCACAACAACAACTAAATATTCAAGTTATCAACCCACAAAGCTTAGAAGGCATGATAAAGATTCATGAGCATTTCCATGGAGATGAAATGACTATGCTACTATATCTCGCCAACATGTTTCTGTATGTAAGCCCACACAAGCTTACTGATGTTTAGCCAGACCTTTTCTCCACTGTCACACCTCCAATCAGATCATTTAATCTGTTGTAGTTCAGTTCCTTGACCATAATATATCACCCATGAAATTGCATGTATTTCTTATGATTAAATTAACATATGCCTGATGAAAAATAAGCAATCAGTCAGTTTATACACCATTTAGCACAGTATAGGCATAAAATCAACATAATTAGATTGCTTTAAAACATAAAGCACCACTCGTCATGATACATATTGAGAGCTGCACTGGCCTTTAAGTGTCCACTGTGTTAGAACACAGGTTACACTGAGGTAGAGAGCATAACTAAGTATAAATTGCACATAATGTGGCACAAACACTGGCCTACATCGGAACGAGGCAGCAGGTTCAGATCCCTTGATCCCCTGAGGCAGCAGAGTGTATCATGGCTGGATTCATGGAGTTGATATTTATTTCCAGGATGGCATGTTATTTATTTTCAGGGTGGAATGCAAGTCCCTTTTATCGAGCGTAATCCCCGGTAACCAGACATGTCTGTGTTGAACTAATGTCTTGATACGTACTGTGAATTCACAGACGGAACAACAGACGGATGCTGCATCTGCTGTGTCAAACATGAAGTCTGAGCAGTGGTAGTGGAATCAGACTGTTTATCTGAGGATGTTCATGTAAATAAACAGAAGGCTTATGAGGATAAGCGTGTGATAGAAGCACTAATTCAGTCGCTTGTGGTCTCATGCCTTTGTTTGACAGAACACGTTTCTGGTAATGATTATAATGTAGTTTCAATAAAACAAAAGCAGCGCAGCATTCACATTACACTCAAGCTTTACTGCCTTCATAAAGAATATCTGAGAAAGCGCACTTTGAGTCAGAGAGGCACTGATAATGAGAACTAGATGTATATTGGTCTAATACAAGAAAAAAGGACAACACTCGGACAATTTGAACAGAACTTCACCTCTGACATTTTCTGTTTATGTTACCATTACTCATGGTTCTTTGCTGAGCGCTCTGCACCTGAGGTAGTGTGAAGAAATTGTCTTGTTGAGTGATCTCACACAAGGCAGTTGCCCGAGTCAGCAGATGACTCAATAGAGTCTCAAAGGGCATGTGATCAACAACACACAAGGATGACCGCCAAGACCCAGAACAGAAGCAGAAGCCATCATAACAGACCACAGACACAGAGAATTGATTCATTAGAATCATTAGTGCCCACTGGATAAATGCACTGCTTTTGTGTGGACTCTAAACTGCAAACTGCCAGGGGTATAAAAGTGTTTGCAGTTGAACAATAGAAAGTTTATGAGATAAACATTTTAGGAATGTGTCATTTTTAACTGTAAATTTTTTTAAAAAATGATTGCAGCTTCCTTAGCGTTTACATTTCCGTAGACAGTGTATCTGAGAATAGAAATTTGTCCACAATTGATAACATAAATAATGCTGAAATTTCCTCTCCAAATAATAGCGTCTGTCTGATTAGAGGGATAATCTTGCTCAAGTAATGGTATTGCAGTCATCCGCGTATTACAGGATCAAATGTTTCCTGTACAAATGTTTCTGTTCTGTGGTTTAGCAATTTCACCAAGGACAAGCCATATTATTTGGTTTCTTTTTATATTATTTCCATACGCAGAATGTGCTGGAGTTTTTCATACTGTTGGAGCCCTGAATCCAAGGACTTAAGTGTTTCCCTTTTTTATTTTATGTTTCATCATGTGCCTTAATCCAGCTAATGATCCTACATCTTTCTGCAAATACTGCCAAGGACATGAGAGGCTGTTAAGAAGTCAGTGTGGCAGAGACAGTACACGTTTCTCCCAAAACACCACCACTTGTTCTCAAAGCCACTCTCGCACTGTATCAAAGGGCTACAACAAGAAAAACACACACACACAGTTTATTGTCAAACTGAATGTTACAGCAGTTTATTTAAATCAGAAGAATCATTTTAACAGAGACAGGTTCACATCAACAAAGAAATGTCAGATTGATTTAAAATAAAAAAGACCCAACACAAAAACACTAAAATATTAGCGCGATGACCTCTTGGCCTCTTGGTGTCTGTCTCGGCCCCTCTCTCGGTATTTTATTTTTTTGAAGCCAAAGTACACATGATTGAATGCAGTGAATGTGTCTGGGAAAGCAGTAAGTCAGGTTTGGTCTCAGGCCCACCCTGCCAAACACAACAGGGAGCAGGTGGAGGAGTTAAAAATATCAGGGCACACTCTCGTTCACTCACTTCCTGGGCTCCACAAATACAGAGTGTGCTTTGACTCACGACTGGTGAAAAGTATTAAATGTTAATTTAGGGAGGACTGGCTTTACCTTGTGTGGCTGTGCGTGCGTGCGTGCGTGCGTGCGTGCGTGCGTGTGTGTGAATTGTGTTCAGTTCATTTATGTGTTAAAAATGTGC